TCTGGGCTGGGCTATATATTTCAGGTCACGGCTAACTCATAGATTGAACCCTGAAACAACCTCTGGGCTGGGCTATATATTTCAGGGCATGGATAGCTCATAGATTGAACCCTCAAACGACCTCTGGACTGGGCTATATATTTCAGGGCACGGCTTATTCACAAATCTAATTTGTTAGGTTTTTCTTGTTGTATTGATTTTATTTATCTTTTGTTTGTCTTGTCAGACAAGTGGGAGATAGACAGATCGGAAATCACCCTCGGCAAAGAAATTGGTGCCGGACAGTTTGGGGTAAGTGAGATTAGTATGTCAGAACCAAGTGCTGGTTTCTTGACACAGTACCTCTTTAGTTTGGGCATAGTATTGCTTTCATTTTACAACATGCATTATTCCCTAGAGAGTTAACTATTTTAATGGTTGTGTATGAAAAGACACGTGAATATAAAGACCCTGTTACACGTTGAAACTTTTAGGTGAAACTTGTGTGCAACAGCATTGCAAGACRAGTTTCAGAAGCAATTGCACAGTGTAACACCCCAGCTTTGTGAAACTTTCATCGCAAGAAAGTTTCACGAAAAGTAGAACTGCTTTCTACTTCTGCAACCCAAACTTGTGTCGCGAACAAGTTTCTGGACGAAATTGCGACRTGTGACACCCCTGTGAAACTTCTCTCGCAATGCTGTTGCACACAAGTTTCTCCTAAAAGTTTCAACGTGTAACAGGGCCTTAAATACGACTCATCTGGGTTGTTAGAACGGTGAATAGTGCTATCCAACGGATAAATCCTTATCCAGTGGATAAGTCGATGCTGTTATCCAATAAATGTTTCCACTGGATAAGATTTATCCATTGGATAGTCCTATTCACCCTTCGTACAACTGAAACCTTAATACGAACCCCTGAATACAACTCAAACAAAGAATCTTATTCTTAAGAGAACAACACATGGTCTGAAATGAGATAACGCTGCACCAAAACTTTAAAAGTTTGATAAAACCTTCCCACCCATTATCCCATCCAGGCTTGATGTCACGTGCAAACTAAGGGAAATCTTGCTGTCCGTCACCCTCCTACCCTAGGGAAATTTCACAATCTTTCTGAGTGTCTATTGTTGTTGTTGTGCTAGTGTGTAAAGGAAGGCATGTGGAGAGGTGAGATACCTGTGGCAGTCAAAATGATGAAAGATGGAGCCATGTCCGAAGATGACTTCATTGCCGAAGCCAAAGTCATGAAGTAAGTGGTGCTCTCAAACATGCGAACTCTGTGTCTGCGAGCTGCACGCTAAAATTAGTTTTGTTTTTTTTTGCCGCCGCCAGTCAAAAATAGGAAAATGAGGTACCGACAGATAAATTTTGATTGATGGCAGTGAAAAAAAATTTTCAGCGTGCTGCTAACAGCTAGTGAATCTTATCAATTGGGTTGAGAACCTGTTAGTTTTCCATCCACCACGGAGTGGTAAATCCGATTAGATTTTTTAAGTACTTTACTTGTGTTCATGATAATGAGGTGTTGGGTAGATTATTAGTGTGCTGTACCACAAACGTTTTAGTGTTATCTTTTATACCTGATTTGTCTTCCCTCTAATCCCTGAAGCATTAGCTTGGATATTCGAGCACCGACAAAGGGTAGAGGGTAGGAGCAAGAATTTATTTTTTGTATTTTATTGACATTTTTAACATAGGGGCAAGAATTGCACTTTACACCCCCCCCCCCCACCCTCCCCTGCTTGATGGACGTAAAATATATTAAATTTTATGTTTTTATTTGCAGACAATTCCAGCACTCTAATCTCGTCCAATTGTATGGTGTTAGTAGTGAGAGTCCTATCTATATCATCACAGAGCTTATGAAAGGTAAGTTAACACCAATGAACCTGATTGATCACATATACACATGTTTCAAAAAACGTTGTCGGTCAGAGATCTGAAATCTGAGACTGAAAGGAATTGTCGGTTGTAAATTGTTTGTGGTTTTGATAAGTAGTTCGCAAAAAGTTAATATCTTGATATACTAACTTTGAGCGATGACCTGCGCTGACAAACTATCTGGGTGAGTGTCTATTAAATTTTTAACGATAAAACACTCAGTCCCCCACAATTCCAATCGGTCTCAGATTTCTTATTTCAGATATCCAACCGACGTTTTTTGAAATAGGTGTATGCACCTGTTTCAAATGAGGTTGTCGACGCTAAACGACCAAGGATATTGTTCGTTCCAAGACGTAAAGGAACTGTGGACATAGATTTTACAGAGAAATAATGTAAACATGAATATGGAGGTAGCAAAATCGTGCAATTTCTTGCTCTGTATTGCGTTTTGTATTACTGTTCCATGCACAATAATTTCCTTTGTTGCAAAATATCTAATAGCTATTATAAAATAACTGTTATAAATCTCGCATTCTGATTGGTTCGGAGCGCATGCTTTATGAGAGCACACAGCACGCACGCGCCCTTTGCATTTTATAAAAGAAATAAAAAACTTGCTTACTGTGCTGTGTGGAGTTATGAAGCACTTGGGGATTGGCAGAACACTCCGCTATGCGTCGTGCTTCTCCTAACACTTCTCTCGTGTTCTGCCAACCCCCGCGTGCTTTATAAYTGCACACAGCACGCGCTCGCGTTTTTTATTTCTTCAGTTATATATTTGCGCGCAGAGTGGCCAGAGATGATGTGTACAAGAGGATATTTTGCGTAGATTATATACCATGTTTTTGAAGCTGAATTAAAAATATGTAACTTTAGCTTCATGTTTCGTGCGATATCGGTTKTCTTGTAAAATTCGATGTTGATTTTCTTTATAAATCAAAGAATTTCCCTATAGAATAAAGACAACTTCTACTTCGTATAACAAAGAAAGTATGCTGCGTGCGTATTGAAAGCAACGCTCGTAACATTATAAGTGTCCGTAATGGTGAAAGGATAAATTTTACACTGTGAAAAAATGAAAAAATTTACTGACGTTTCGGACGCTAGTCCTTCGTCGGATTCCTCTTTTACGTCCGAAACGTCAGTAAGTTTTTTCATCTTTTCACGGTGTATAATTTACCTTTTTATCATTACTGTTTCATTAGAAACACCGACGCAGCTCACACTAGTTTTTAGCTAGTTATCTCTTCTTATAAGTATCCGTATTAGCCCACCATGATGATCATCATCTCATGAGACTTGTGACTTGTCCTTCTTTTAACTCCTCAGGCAGTTTACTCCACTATTTGCGCAAAAACCAATTCAAGCTCAAAACCGCAGAAATGACAGACATGGTTGAACAAGTGGCATCGGCAATGAAATACTTGGAGAGCAAGAACTTTATTCACCGGGATTTGGTGAGTATAGTCCCCTTCAYAGTTCCTTGCGCCATCTTGAAAGGTAGCCGTGCCTTTGCATGAAGCGAGACGAACGGTCTGCTTGCAATGATAGAGACCTTTTTTTAACACCTTGGACAGTTATTCACACTGTCTCTATCATTGCAAGCTCACCGTTTGTCTCGCTTCGATGCAAAGGCACGGCTACCTTTCAAGATGGAGCAGGGACTGAGAGGACTATTGCATTATAAAACCTAACAGCTTCTTTACGTACCCTCTATGCATCTATTAAGTCATATTGCTGTGATAACTGTAAAATCTACCTTGCCCGGCATCGATTTTGCTATTGGACAGTACAACATTTAGCTTCAACTTGCTTGCATCGGCCTTGTGATAAGAGTTTTGCACGGCTCATTTCCTTGTCTAAGAATCGAGGGTGCGTCACATAACAGTAGAACACTCGCCTCTTATCTCTGGGGTCTTGGGTTCAATTGCTGGACTCGGCATCAAC